GACCAGGACCCAGATGCAGTCGGACCTTTGACCTGCATACCGCTCTACTCGTCGCTCCCGCCTCAGCAACAACAACACATCTTCGATCCAGCGCCTCCGCCGCGGACGAAGGGTGGCCCTCTGGGTCGCAAGATTGTCGTGTCGACCAATGTTGCGGAGACGTCGTTGACGGTAGACGGGATCGTGTATGTGGTTGACCCCAGGTTCTCGAAGCAGAAGGTGTATAACCCGCGCATCCGGGTGGAGAGTCAATTAATTTCCCCAATTTCCAAAGCGTCGGCGCAGCAGAGAGCAGGGCGCGCCGGGCGGACGGGACCGGGGAAATGCTTTCGGTTGTATACAGAGAAGGACTTCAAGAATGAGTTGGAGGAACAGACCCATCCTGAGATTCTCAAAAGTAATTTGAGTACCGCCGTACTGACCTTGGTGAAGATTGGGCTCAAGGCTTGTCTCATTGTTACGTTCTTGGATTGCGCTCTTTACTGATTACAATTCAATTATAGGACCTCGTCCGCTTCGACTGGGTGGACGCTCCTGCTCCTGAAACTCTGATGAAGGCACTTGAATTGCTCAATTATTTGGCTGCGCTCGATGACGAAGGCAACCTGACACCACTTGGTTGTATCATGGCGGAGTTCCCTCTCGACCCACAAGTAATGGATCCTTCTATACCGCACATTGAGCTGTCAATGATCCATGTCTCTCAGCTAGCCAAAATGCTCATCGTGAGCCCGGAGTTCAAATGCAGCAACGAAGTCCTGACCATTACTGCCATGTTGTCGGGTGTGTTCCAGCGCAGACGTCACCTTCTTACCGCTTATCCATGTCAATGTAGTACCGAACGTATGGTTGAGACCCAACGGAGAGAGGCAGAGGCCGCGAAGGCACTACTGACGGTTCCCGATGGCGACCATTTAACCATGCTCAATGTGTACAGCGAGTATGTGAACAGTAAGGACATATTTTTAGTGTCGAAAATACCGTTTGACGTTTTCGAATAGACCAGCACGACAAAAACTGGGCATGGACACACTACTTGTCTGCCCGTGCTCTGGCGCAGGCGGACAATGTCTGCAAGCAGCTAGAGCGGACGATGGAGCGCTTTGAGGTGGAGCTCGTCAGCCTCAGCGACCGACTTAAGCTATACCAGAATGTCCGGCAGGCGCTTGTTTGTGGGTTCTTCATGCAGGTTGCGCACAAGGAAGGGGAGAAGGGGAATTATTTGACGGTGAAGGACAATCAGGTTTGTTTCTTCATTCCATTTTATACCAACGCTGCTCACACGCTCTGTCCTTTTCTAGGTAGTAGCCCTCCACCCGTCGTGTGGTATGGATACGCAGCCCGAATGGGTCATATTCAACGAGTTTGTCTTGACCACGCGACCGTATATCCGGACAGTGACTGAAGTCCGACCGGAATGGTTTGTTTTTGTCATTGCACTTCCTCTTTAACCCGAGCTTACTCCTCCTCAGGCTGCTTGAATACGCGCCGACTTACTTCGATCTAAGCTCGTTTCCAGATGGTGAATCCAAGCGGGCACTGCAAAGAGTCGTCAACAAGAAGGCTGGGAAAAGTAATAGAGACGCGACCAAGGATTACGCGCGCGAGAACTAGGAAACAAAAGAAGAATAAGTAAATTTCTGATTCGGAAAGAGACCGGGATCTATATGCATTGTTTTGATGTGCCGATTCACATATAAACAGAATTGAGACACAGGGTAAAATGTTCCTAGGAAATTGCAAGTCGAAGTTGAGGACAAGAGACATCAGTGGCAGTGTCCGGCTCCGCCAATTGCTCTTCACAACAACGTCCATGCGTTGATTCTTCACTGTCCTCGACATCATCTACAACGTTCAAAACGATCTATGGATGTCTAATCAACGCTCCAAAATCCATTCGCAGGTGTCTAAGACCTCCTAGCCTCTGATACGCGGAGCTTTATGGAGCAGTGAGGAATTCGGGCGAAAATCGTCCGGTAGATAGAGGACTTTGCCTGTACACTCGAACGTGCAGGATGAGTCTTTTCCATCCTTTTTTGACCATAGCGTCGTCACCGTCCTGTTCCACGTATTCTACGATTTTTTGTCTAACGGCTCACTTTCCCGTCCTTCTATGCTCTTAGGTCATTCCCATCGTTAACACACTCACACGATTTCGACGACCTCTTGCATTCGCAGCCAGGAAATCGAATAACGGCGCATGTCTAGGATGCAACAGAATCCATGGCCGGATCAGATATACATCTTCTTTTCAGTCCCTCCGTCGTACCAGAAATGACGCGACTTTCCCATCCTGAGACTCGACATTTTTTCACTGCGCGCGATCCTCGCCGACTCCGAGCCATAGTAGGCCATTCATCTCCTCCATCGCCCCAGCGCTCATGCCACTGCACTCGCAGGTCGTCTCTGGATCATGTCCACAACCCATCCGTTCTCGAGATCCTTGTTCCCAGTCACCATCCCCGCACGACGTACCTCCTCCCTTTTAAGGGGGCGGGGATCGCGCTGTGCGCGAGCTGGATGATGCCCAATCTCAGATCTTCCGACTCGGAGGAGTGAAAGAGGGGGGGAGGGAGAGGGAAGATAATGTTGCGTAGATGGAGTGGATGGACGACGGACGACGAGAATGGCGCGGTCATCCGACACATTCAATTCCCCCGCTTGCTCAACGCGGCTCCAAGTCCTCTTCAAAGAAGCGTAGACGCCCTCCCCCCCCCCACCACCCCGCGCGGCTACACTTGCCCCGTCTTTTCTGCCTTTGGGCTGCCCTGCGTCCTCCTCGCTCACGTGATACCCTGTCCTTGTTTCCTTCTGGCCCAGGTGATGCGCTGTGGGAGGTAGAGCGTCGAGGGGTCGAAGAAGCATGAGTGGGGCGTAGTGAGAGGAAGAGGCTGCGCGCACTGTGGTTCGCTCATCGTGCGGCCCATCCCTTACGCAACTCGCGGTGCTGCACTCGTAGAGCATCATAAGCGGACGGGATGGGAGGCGGGGGTGAGGGACCTGGGAGCGGGTGCACTACCCTCTCGAGATACCACTGTCCTGGCCCTCGCCGTTGTTAATGCACTTCACTTCGCGATATCAGCGAGGTACTTAGTCACGACCGTCACCCGCATTATTGTTGTCTATCTGCCTGCCTACAACTCCGATCTGCTGTTGTATACCAATCCACCTATTCTCCATAACGCACATCCATACGCGCATCCCTGTTGCTCCTACACCGTCGTGATCGCGATTTGTTACTTTTTGAGTCCCGATTCGGGAATTATATTTCCTGATTTGGCCAATTGGCTTGCGGCCTTCGGGAGAACACAGGCAAGCGTAGGCGAGAGTATCGCTACCCTTTCTATTGCTGCTGGGCGGTTCTCCACTCCCTTCTCCCCTGCCACCTCCATAGCGGCCTACGTAATTCATTCGGAAAACCGATCCCACTTTCGACAGGTGTGCAACGCACGACCACTCATTGTTAATGATGTCCCCGGGGTGGGCGGGTGAGGCCGGACGACATGCTTGGCCAGCCATGAGGAATGCGAGAGGGAATGGAAGAGAGATGTCGAGTCATGCGGGTATTCGAGGCCGACGGAAATCTTTCATCAAACCATCCTGTGTGCCCGGTCCACGGACAACGGTGCCAGCGCCGCCGCTGCCTCTGGCACGCGTGCTGCGAACGAGGGGTCCGTGCGCACCCGCCGCCAGTACTCCGAGTCGTCGTCGTCGTCGTCACCGTTGTCGCCCGCCGCGTCGCCGCCCTCGTCCTCCGACCCCCCGCCCAGCGACCGGTACGGCTCTTTTGCCGTTGCGAGCAGCTCTTTCGTCGCAGCTAGTGCTGCAAGCCGTCAGCCCTGTGTCGCCTTCAATGTCCGCGTCTTTCACTCGGACCTCCTTCTCCCGATGCTGCTGTCTCTTCTTTCCCATCTCGCTTGTGCGTAATCTAAGCGGACATGAGGGGATGCATCCTAGTACAACTGCACACACCTTCAAGTACACACGCAGTCCTCGCCTTCGCTCTCACTAACCCTTCTGCCTTCTCGTCCTTGCCCTCTTGGCCTCGAGCTGGCAACAGCGACGCCGACTTGGGATGTAGAGTAGCGTAGCATACAACGTTGTACCAGGGCGATATAGCAGCAACCAGAAACGGTGGTTCGGCGTTCACTTCAGGTCAGACGCGCCTTCGGACGCGTTCGGTCTTCGGCGTAAGCGATCAACAGCGTCGATGCCAAAACTCGTGTCAAGCCCCGCAATCAGATAACGATGATCTTATCGGTATCAATTTACTGCCTCAACTCAGGCGGATTAGAAAGGAAATTGGGTATTGGATATGGGTAGGTGCCTGAGAAATGACGATGTGCAAAAAAGTTAGTTGTGGAATGGAATGACCTGACCCCGATTCGAACGAGGATCTCCTGCCAATTATGTGTATATCTTCCACCCACCTATGCATAGCAGGTGTGTTTCTATGCACCACCAGGTCTTTCCTCCCCCTCTTCTGCTCCCCAATACCACAGTATGATTTTTGTCCAGGTAGACGACTCAAATATTCAACATCCAAAGATACATCTCAATGCCACTCCGCAGACCATTGAAAAATCAAACTCGGGTACGTACCGGATACAGCTGTACACATCGAGAAAAAAACAGATACACCACGGGCAGACCTCGTAAAAAAAACCTGACTGCTCGCTGGAAACGACCTGACCCCAATTCGAACGGGATCCCCTGCGAATTATGCAAAGATCTCACACCTATGCACAACAGGTGTGTTGCTATACACCACCAGGTCTTTCCTCCCCTCTTCTGCTCCCCAATACCACAGCATGATTTTTGTGCTCGTAGACGACTTGAATATTCAACATCCAAAGATACATCCTTACCACTCCGAGTCCAGACCACCAAAACGACCAACTCTCAAACAGCTATGCACGGATACAGTTGCACATCGAGAAAAAAGCAGATACACCACGGGCAGACCTCGTGAAAAAAAAAAACACGTTGCTTGTCGGCAACGACCTGACCCCGATTCGAACGGGGATCCCCTGCCAAATTATGCTCTATACAGATTACTGGAATATGTAGCAGGTGTGTTGCCATCCACCACCAGGTCTTGTCACCCTACTCCGGTCCCTTGCTTTATTCCACACTTGTGCAGGGCTTTTATTATTGTTCTCAATCAAACCTCGGCAGCTAAACCACACATACTGCCACATCGGTGTTCCCTGCCTTGAACTTTGGAACACCACAGAACTGAAGAAGTATCATATGAGACGCAGCTATCGATATCCGAAGAAAAACACCCGCCAGTGGAACTTGTAGGAAAAAATACGGAAGTAATCATTTCTGACCATGACCTGGTGTCATGAATTGCCCGGGTTCTACTTTTTCGCGCGACACAGTCTGTATAGATACAGACACGTCTTAGCGGCACGGGACTCTCATGACGCCACCACGTGACCTTCTCACGGTTGAAACCCGGCCTCGGATTCTAAAAGCCGCAGACTCGGGGAGTCTGTGCCACAGATACAGAAGACGTTAGGGACTAGGAACCCGTACAGACGGACTCTAGTCCCCGGATGCACCAAGGGCTGACATAGAAGCGTACACAAAGTACAGGAGTGGTTGCAAACCCGATCGGGGTTTGAACCACTGGATACGATGACACTTAGGACTAGGAAACCCGAATGTCGGGTCTCCTAGGTCCACCGACGCCACGGAAACCAACACAGAGGAGTCCAGGAGCATCAGCATTAATGCTCCTTAATGCTACGGTGCAGGAACTGATCGCGATTGACCGCGATCACTTTAATTCATTAGAAGCCTATTGTCAGCAACGGCCTCTGGGTCAGCTAAACAGCGAGTAACCCGACGAGAACCCCAACCAGGATAAACCCGATAGACGCTAATAGCTCGTATGTTCCCCGAGCAGTAGGACCAGTCGTACGGCGTCCTCCCTAGGAGGCCGTATGTCATAGGTTGGGATGCGAGGCGGAACCCGGAACGAGTCGAAGAGGGTGTGATATCCACTCAGGTACAACACCCGGGGCGTGGATACAACTCGTAGTACGGTGCGAGGGAAGCGGGGCAGGGTGGAGACAATGCCTATGTCAAGCCAAGGTAGAAGCCTGAGATTAGACGAGGTAGAATCTACTGTACATGGAGATTCTACCGTGCTTATATAGGCTTCTAAATAAATTAAAGCGATCGTGGTCAATTGCGATCAGTTCCTGCACCGTAGCATTAAGGAGCATTAATGCTGATGCTCCTGGACTCCTCTGTGTTGGTTTCCGTGGCATCGGTGGACCTAGGAGACCCGATGTTCGGGTTTCCTAGTCCTAAGTGTCATCGTATCCAGTGGTCCAAACCCCGATCGGGTTTGCAACCACTCCTGTACTCCGTGTACTCTTCTGTGTCAGCCCTTGGTGCGTCCGGGGACTAGAGCCCGTCTGTACGGGTTCCTAGTCCCTAACGTCTTCTGTATTCTGTGGCGCAGACTCCCTGAGTCTGCAGCTTTAGAATCCGAGGCCGGGTTTCAACCGTGAGAAGGTCACGTGGTGGCGTCATGAGAGTCCCGTGCCGCTAAGACGCGTCTGTATCCATACAGACGCGTCGCGCGAAAAAGTAGAACCCGGGTGATTCATGACACCTATATAAGCACGGTAGAATCTCCATGTACAGTAGATTCTACCTTGTCTAATCTCAGGTTTCTACCTTGGCTTGACATAGGCATTGTCTCCACCCTGCCCTGCTTCCTTCGCACCGTACTATGGGTTATATCCACACCCCGGGTTGTATACCTGAGTGGATATCACACCCTCTTCGACTCGTTCCGGGTTCCGCCTCGCATCCCGACCTACGACATACGGCCTCCTAGGGAGGACGCCGTATGACTGGTCCTACTGCTCGGGGAACACACGAGCTACTAGCGTCTATCGGGTTTATCCTGGTTGGGGTTCTTGTCGGGTTACTCGCTGTTTAGCCGACCCAGAGGCCGTTGCTGACACCTGGCCCCGAATCGAACGGGGTTCTCCTGCCAAATCATGCATTACATACCCTCACATTAGTCTTGTAGCAATCACGCCCCTCTTGGGAAGACACTGACTGATTACGCAATTACGTGGCTGTGCTACCAGGCATGTTTTCCTTTGTACCATAGCCGGGGGGGGGCTGTATAAATCAGAGAATATTCATGCACATACAGAAGCTATATAGAAACATTTTTTACTGCGAAAGTTAAGTGATACACACGGTGGATATCTCAATACGAGATCACCCTGAAATTTGATCAAAATTTTTGCCTTGACAAGTTGATCACATACCGTCGTGCGCACTGAATGGATTGCTTAGCATCAAGTGAGGAGCCGTAATATTCTCGGGTTTTCTATGCCTCCAAACATTTGTAGATTTATTGAACGAGAGTACACGTCACAATGTGGTGCTCAAAAATCAGTCCGTGTCTTCCCAAAGGGGTCGTGATTGCTAACAGACCATATACGGATACTCACTTGTTCGTCATCCGTTTCTGGTCTGTAACAGAGACTACCCTCACGTCACGTCCAACAGGTGTGTTACCATACACCACCAGGTCTTTTGACTCTTCTACTGTCCCGCCTTATCCACCTGTCCAGAATCAAAGACTCCCAGGCTTCAATGTCGAAACAAATACCTCACTGCACTGGAGCCGGGTGACCAAAAAATCGAGCAAATATCATCCTCTGTCCTACAGCCGTACAGATCAAAGCACATGCCTGAATACCCCCGAGTTGGGGCAACAAGTTTCCAGAATATGACTATGACCTGGCCCCGATTCGAACGGGGATCCCCTGCCAAATTATGCTCTAAACGGGTGCGAGATATGTAACAGGTGTGTTGCCATCCACCACCAGGTCTTGACACCCTACCCTGGTCCCTTGTTTTATTCCACACTTGTGCAGGCATTTTTTTGATTGCTCTCAATCAAACCTCGGCAGTTAAACCACACATACTGCCACATTGGTGTTCCCTGCCTTGTACTTTGGGACACCACAAAACCAAAGAAGTATCATATGAGACACAGCTATCCAAAGAAAAACACCCCGCCGGCGGAACTTGTAGAAAAAAATACGAAAGTATCACGTCTGACCATGACCTGGCCCCGAATCGAACGGGGTTCTCCTGCCGAATAATCGGGCTCTGTGTCATGTGCAACAGGTGTGTTACCATACACTACCAGGTCTTTTTACTCTTATACTGTCCCGCCTTATCCCCCTGTCCAGAATCAAAGACTCCTAGGCTTCAATGTCGAAACAAATACCTCACTGCACTGGAGCCAGGTGACCAACAAATCAAACAAATATCATCATCTGTCCTACAGCCGTACAGATCAAAGCACACACCCGAATACCCCCGAGTTGGACCAAAAACTTTCCGGAAACCGATTATGACCTGGCCCCGATTTGAACGGGGATGTCCTGCTGACGGTACATCAATTTGGCGCAAATATAGCAGGTGTGTTATCTTACACCACCAGGTCGTGTTCTTTCTATTCTCATCCCATACCCTATGCCTTAATTATGCTCACCCAGCATCCAATAACTTAACTCAACGAAAGTGCACATGTCACACACGGCTAAAAGCAAAATTCAGGAACTTCGGAAGGAGCACCGCATATCGTGTAGACCAACAGTATGTAAAAACACCCACCTGATCAGTAGAGCTCAACAGAAAAAAGGATACTCCGGCAGTCTGATGACCTGACCTGAATTGAACGGGAATCTCCTGCCAAATGGCAAGCCAAGATGGAATATATAGCAGGTGTGTGAACATACACCACCAGGTCTTCCTACTCCCATTCTTGTCCTCTGCTTTATTCAACACTTCCACCAGGCCTTCCGGGTCTCGATCAGCCTCGGTAGTTTCTTTCAACCACATCTAGAATGTCCCCATTTCCGTGTTCCCTGCTTTGAACTTTGGAACCCTACAGAACCGAAGAAGTAAGTGAGACACAGCTATCAGAAGAAAAACACCTCACCGGCTGAACTTGTAAGAAAAAATATGAAAGTATGACATCTGGTGATAAACCGACCCTGAATCGAATGGGGATCTTCTGCCGAATTATGTTCGATACTGGCCATGATAATATGTGTAACAGATGTGGCACCATCCACCACCAGGTCTTCTTACTGTTCTATTGTCCTGTCTCATTCACGTGTCCAGAATCAAACACTCCTTTCAGAGATGTCAAAAATCCAACACCTCGCCGCACTGGAGCCGGGTGACCAACAAATCAAGCAAGTATCACACAAATATCATCATCTGTCCTACGTGTATACATACAGATCACAGTACACACCTAAATACCCCGAAGTTGGGGCAAAAGCTTTGTGGAACATATCATGACCTGGCCCCAATTCGAACGGGGATGTCGTGCTGACAGTGTATCACCAAACTATACATAGCAGGTGTGTTATCTTACATGACCAGGTCTCTTCTTCTCATCCTCATCCTGTATCTTGTGTTATGATTATACTTGGCAACTCAGAAAGTGCACCTTGTGGAATGTAACAGCTGAGACAAATCCAGACAGGCTACTTACATCAGGGATGGCCTTTTGGCGGTTACAGACCTGGTCCATCTGTGTCAGACCTGGATTTCTGACACAGACCAATACAGACCTGCAGACCAGTACAGACATGCTTACATGCCTACAGACCGCCTGCACACCACCTACAGACACTGTACCCTCATGGACTGCAAATCCATCACATCCGTAGTCTCTCGTAGACAGACACTCTATACGAACCAAGCTCGTACCTCACTGCAACACACTACGACAGAGCTTCCATCTTTATTGGGGTGAAGGCGAAGTAACTGACAAGTTATAACCAAACTAGATGTGGGGGCACCTAGTCCGTCTTCTTCTTAGTGGGCTCAAGCCAACACACAATCCACCTAGCAAGCAATCCAACACACTATGACGGAGCTTCCGTCTTGTCGGGGTGAAGGCAAAGTCACTAGTGCAAACTGCAGCTGGGTCTTGAAGAGAACACCCTTGTTTTATATGTGGAGGTCTAGGACCAACGACACGAAACCCTCAACTTAGTCACTCGATGTTTCCAGAGTCCACAGTTTACTGATTCCAATATAAAGACTACTACAAGTGAAGTTCGGTATCAAGCTCCACTAGCAGCCTGAGTCCACTAGCACCAGCTTCATCCAAAGTCTGGGGCGTAATGTTCTTAGACCCTAGTCTGTTCTGCACTCCCTTTTATACTACTAGATTCGAGTTACATGTGAAAGTGAGCTGAATAATACAATAAGCAATATTAGATGATAAGAAATACGGTCAGCCAATGAGACAACTGCCGTTTGGTTTTGGGACTGGTTTGGTATATGCCAGGTCAGCCTCGCTGACCGGCTAGTGTTCAACCGTGGGTATATCAATGGATCCTCAGCCCTCCATCTATGCTGAGCACCCCTTCCGGACCAACCAGCAATGTAGCTGGTGGTCTATGTCATCTCTACTCTGTCAGAGCATCAATCTATTACATCTAGACGACACAGTGTTGCGACTGACATCAAATGGTCATAGCTCGTTGGTCAGAACATCGATCCGCCCTCCGGTCATCGGTACAGGCTGTATGATCATCCCTAGCTCCGTTCCAATAGCCTGCATGCTATTCCCTTCGCCCTAGCTGCCCAGATCAGGCACTAGCCTAGTGTTGCTTCATCTCTTATGTCGTGGTATGTCTTTGTCAAAGCCCTAGCTGGTCGCTAGTCGGTTTGTTCTGCCTATCGCCGTCTAGTCGCTTATCTAGAGATTAGATAGTACCACCGGTTACCGTGCCGACCTTCCTAGCTCAAGGTGTTGTCCCCTAGCTGCACTCGCATCATAGATGTCCGTCTGCTAGACCCTCGCTAGCTCCATCCCAAGTCATCTCTGGACTACTAGAGTCTCCTAGGTCATGTCTCATGAATGTATAGACAGTGGTTTAATCCCTGGTTGTTTGTACACTCAGCTAGCAGCTAGCGTGACACACCAGTGTAGCCTCGTGCTACAGTCAGCATATAGGGCTCGCTCTGACTCTCCTTTATATCACCTAATGTCATGAATTGCCCAGGTTCTACTTTTTCGCGCGACGTGTCCGTATGGATACAGACGCGTCTTAGCGGCACGGGACTCTCATGACGCCACCACGTGACCTTCTCACGGTTGAAACCCGGCCTCGGATTCTAAAGCCGCAGACTCAGGGAGTCTGCGTCACGGAATACAGAAGACGTTAGGGACTAGGAACCCGTACAGACAGGCTCTAGTCCCTGGACGCACCAAGGGCTGACACAGGAGAGTACACGGAGTACAGGAGTGGTTGCAAACCCGATCGGGGTTTGAACCACTGGATACGATGACACTTAGGACCAGGAAACCCGAACGTTGGGTCTCCTAGGTCCACTGACGCCACGGAAACCAACACAGAGGAGTCCAGGAGCATCAGCATTAATGCTCCTTAATGCTACGGTGCAGGAACTGATCGTGATTGACCGCGATCGCTTTAATTTATTAGAAGCCTATATAAGCATGGTAGAATCTCCATGTACAGTAGATTCTACCTCGTCTAATCTCAGGCTTCTACCTTGGCTTGACATAGGCATTGTCTCCACCCTGCCCCGCTTCCCTCGCACCGTACTACGGGTTGTATCCATGCCCCGGGTTTTGTACCTGAGTGGATATCACACCCTCTTCGACTTGTTCCGGGTTCCGCCTTGCATCCTGACCTACGACATACGGCCTCCTAGGGAGGACGCCGTACAACTGGTCCTACTGCTCGGGGAACATACGAACTACTAGCGTCTATCGGGTTTATCCTGGTTGGGGTTCTCGTCGGGTTACTCGTTGTTTAGCCGACCCAGAGGCCGTTGCTGACACCTAACAAGTGGTCTGCATACTAGCTGGTATGCTAGTAACAACAGAAGTGCTAGTTGCTTCCCGTTGTATAAATACTGTGTCACACTAGTGTAGCCTCGTGCTACAGTCAGCAGTTAGGGCTCGCTCTGACTCTCCTTTATATCACTTAACAAGTGGTCTGCATAGCTAACAGCTAGCGCGTCACACTAGTGTAGCCTCGTGCTACAGTCAGCAGTTAGGGTTCGCTCTGACTCTCCTTTATATCACCTAACAAGTGGTCTGCATACTAGCTGGGATGCTAGTAACAACAGAAGTGCTAGTTGCTTCCCATTGCATAAATACTGGTCATAGGAAATCGCAAAATTAGCCCTAGATGCCGCGCATTTATGTTACGCCGTTTCATTGGTATGATAACAAGGGATTGGGGGGCGCAAGGTATTAACCGTTCATCAATGAAGTTGAATAAAACACTAGGAGAGGTACAGAATAAACTACGACTAAGCTATGACTATATACTGTCCGTTGTATCTAATCGAACCGTATGAACTACCTTCCTGATAAGTAACGGCTATGATCCGAGCATAAGGCTTCGGTGTGGTAAATGTTCATAAGTAATGCTATGCTACCTATTATAACTAAATGAAGTGTCTATGTGTTGCTTCCATCTGTAACAAGCGTGTTCTGACCAAGAACATGCCATAGTCTGCAAGACTATTAGTAAACATCTAGCATATGTAACGTGTTCATGTAAATATAACTGTTCATGTGTATAGCATGTGTTCCAACTCGATCTTACCAACCAATTGTTCATTGTGTTCTTCGTCGAGTATTGTGAGGACTCCTCCTGGCACTGTGGAACCGAGTATGTATCCTCGCTTGTTCCTCATGTCCTTCCTAACCACTTATACGTGTGGTTCGATTGTCTAGTCTTCATCTGTTGTGACTCATGGTAGAGTTCGTACTGGTGATCAAAAGCCTTGACTCATGTTTGTGTCTGCACTCATGTTATCCTGTTGGTGTGCTTCCTTTTGATCGGTATTCGTGTGAGGTCTCAGCATGACTACCTTAACCCTCATGGCTTCTGTCGTTTATCTTACAACAGTGTCGTTCTGCATCCTGGTGTTCTTTGGTGATCTGAGATCCTATCTTGGGCTTTGTGTGTGTGTGCCCTTCCTCTTGATCCGTTAACTAGGATCCTGTTCTGATCTCTTGATCTAGGGTTTGTTAACGTCCTTGATGACATTTCCTTCTATCTCATCTGTATGCACATGTTATGCTACACTCTCAGATGGGCATTGGAATGATAAGATTTGCATTGAATCATGACAACATTGGAGCTTTTTAAAGTCCTTTTGGGCTTGTTACCTATTTCTAAGGTGCTACCAGACCTCTGTAAGCTGAAAAAATATATAAATTTTCTTTCCCGGACTCAGGATTTGACCGTGGGAAATCATTTGTAAGCAGATTACATAAGGGTGCTGGGGTTCCACACCCTCTACCTTTGTGATGCAGGTCTTTGAGCCTCCCCTGGCTGGAGGTGAGTGTGCACGAACAGTGAGTCCTGTGCAGCTACAATAGATGGGAGGCACTGATTCAAGCCCTCCTCGCTGTTGTGACACATCAGCTAATGA